ATATGTATTTTAATGAATATATTTTAGTTTTACGTATTTTTCGCTAGGTTTTAGAGTAGCGCGGCGTGCGCGTTGCGTGTCGCGGGGCGGAAAGAACCTTAGGAACCCATGGCCAAATATCCATTTTCAATGTAGTGCCTACACTTAGAGCTTCAACTAAAATTTTCCAGCTTTACCTAACCGATCTCTTGCCTGCTGTCGCCTTTCTAGAGTATTTTATGTTTGTCATCACGTAAAAAGCTGTTGGAAAGCAATTTGGTGACTTACGGAGGCGGCACAATCTCATCAAGGCTCGGATTTTCTTCCTGTTGGAGGGGGAGGGCGGCTGGGATACGGTTGTCGATTAGCAACAAGCCGAAGAAAAAGGAGAAGATGAACACTCCTGAAAAAGGGGCTTACGATAAGTTGTGAGGAAAACAAGTGGGCTAGCTAAGTGAATGTTGCGCTTAAAGATTCCACCCACAACACCTAATCCTACTCTGGCCCTTTAACTAATATAGGTTTAGAAGGAGTGGGGGGGGGGGCTAACATATTGGGAAAATCCTGGTTAGAAAAACAGGCATGGAACAAAAATCGAGGGATCTTGTCAAAATACAATTTAAAGCTCAAACGAGGGTGGCCAAGTTTGAGCCATAGAGCTATCAAGTATAGCCAGGGATGGGAGAATATTAAAGACCGAGAGAGCAAGAGAATACGAACGATGGAGGCAGACAGGCAGGCAGAGGGAGGGCAGGGAGCGAGAGAGAGAGAGAAAGAGCGAGAGAGAGAGTGAGAGAGAGAGCGAGGAGAGAGGCAGAGCGAGATGAGAGCGAGCGAGAGAAAGCTATAGAGAGCAAGAAATAGAGCTTCTAGGAAGGGAGGGAAATGCTCTAGGGAAATCAGAGGTCAAGATTAAGCCAGTTAGTTAGAGAAAATCGGCGAGAGATAAGCAGAGACCGAGAGAGAGAGAGAGAAAGAGAGAGAGAGAGAGAGAGAGAGAGAGAGAGAGAGAAAGAGATTAGCTAGATAGATAACTAAATAGAGAAATACCCACCTTCCACAATAATCAGCATATTAATTTCCGACACAAAATGCAGAAGCCAATCGGCCAGTTGCGAGCCTCCGAATTGCCCGAGTGAAAAAAGGATCGAGACGACGATCATCCGGACTGAAAGCTAATAAGGGCTGTATAATTAGTTTCGGAAGCCGACTAAAAAAATCTAAAGTAATTCTTTACTCGAACGACTTGCCGTTTTCTTGTCGGGAAATTGGTCAGTGACATAAGCGTTTATGGCGCTCATCGTCAGGAGGAAGTCACCGAGAAATCCGGCTAGTGAAGCGGCTGCGAATAGCCATTGCAGTGGCCAGTCGGTTTCGGGGTGCCTGAAAATTCTAGGCTTTAGCTTTGCGAATTTAGCGAAGTAAACGATTAAGATAGGTTATTCATATCTAGTTTTAAAGCTTAATTTTCTAACTCATACCATATCAAAATCCGGAAAGCTGTATCGAGCACCACACTCAAAATTCCGATGAGCATGGGCCATTTTCGGCCGTAGTGATCGCTGTAGCCACCTAAATGGAGGTATTGACGAGAGAAGAGAGAGTGAGAGAGAGAGAGAGAAGGGGGAGATATAACGACCCTCGACTTACCGTATATCACCCCGATGATACAAGCTATCGGCAAATTAACATAGTCATAATTCTGATCCCAGAGCACCATTTTCTTGTTGTAGAATGTTTTTTCTTTAGCGCCAGGTGGTATTATATAAGTCCGCTTCACTTTTGCTTCGCTCAGGCTAGGCGTGACGATTCCTCTGAAAGAACGTTTGAAATTTCGATAAAAATAAGCTAAAGGGTATGCTAAAAGATATAATTTTTAATCGCGTAATTGTCTAAAGCTTGATTTTCCCTAAGGTTTTACAAAATTCATCAAGTTTGATTTTAGGCGTTCTAAAGGCAAATACTAAAAATGTTATATTTATGGCACAATTTAATAAGTTTTGCAATATTTATCACTTTAATAAGTATTATAAAGCACTTACTTTACAGAATTACAAGCAGCCAAGAAGAAAATTAATGGCTCGGTCCGAATATCCCATTCTTTGACCTGCTTCCACCCACGGCTGAGCAGGGACATTCTAAAATGACAATTTTTGAACTCTAAATTATATAAATTAACGAAGTAATTGAAAATTCCAGGGATTAAAAACATGTTTCGAGGCGCAAACTGGAATACGAGCAGACGGGCAATAAATCTGCGAGTTGCGCCCCGGCAAAATGATAACAAGATCGGGCCGAAAGTGCGGAAGAAGGGAGCGTCACAATTTTTTGTGGGATCAGTAGAAAAGCAGGTACGCAATTTGTACAACATATAATCTTATTAAAAATTTTTAATTCGTGTGATTCGTATATAATGGGGCATTCTCTAAAATTCATGTCAACCTTGAAAAGACGCAGTTCAGACGAAAATTCAGGCAGCGGGTTTCGGTTAATTTTGAAATGAAAGACATTTAGGATGGATGCAACTGTAACGCTTCCAAAATATCCATGAAAATTTACCTTCATAAAACGCCAAAAAAACCAAGATTTTAGGTAGAAATGCTCGGTTTCAATCGACGGAAAAGTGATAAAAAACAAAATAGCTTGATTTTCTCGTAGAATACGCAAAGCCACGGAATCAGACCAGCCCTAGCGGGGTTCAAACGCGATAAATTTGTGGAAAACGATCCCGAAATAAAGCTAGGCGTCAACGAATGAACATTTGGCATCAAAAATGTTCAGCGGTCTTCTTTTCCCGGTCAGGTCGACTCTTTTTCCCTTTGTGGGTGCTAATCGGCTGATCGCCATCGATTTTTAGGGAGTGCACATCTGGACTATCGAGGTTCTAGGTATCGAATTGGCATTAATGTCAGGTTTTAACAATTTGTGGTATCTTTTTACGCAATCTTCCAGATCGGGCGCACTAATGAGAGGTTTGGACCATGGGAAATCCGGAACTTTAAAAGAAAGTTTTTGAAGATTTCCGAGAATTTTTATCTAAGTTTACCTGCCTGTAATCTATAGAAAGTGTTATTTCTATGCTGTTTTATTCAAATATGTTATAAAAATTTATTCAGACATTAAAATAAACGAAAAATCATTTCAACGGTCATTAGAATTAAAATTATAATGTTCCCACTAATTTCTCTCCAATAAAAATTGCTTGATATGTCACGAAAATTGCGAAAAAACATCCAATGTAGCAAAGGAAAAGAGAGAAGTCTTGAACAATCCAAAATTAAATTTTATTGAAGCACTTTCAGGACCCGTCGAACAAACAAACAATAAATGTCATAGGCAACTGACGTTAAAACTGAAAATTGTATCAGAAGGGACAAGAGGCTCAAGAGGTAGAAAAAATCTAAAATAGTAAAGAAGTAAAAGTAACCAGACGTCTCCAAAAAGTAGTTTTTTACAAGCGTCCCATATGGATGGGACGGTCCTCGATCTCGAATTCGGCCGTAGCGGCATTTTCGCCCTTTTGTTTGTGGGAGCCATAGAGGAAGGTTAAGGAGGAGAGGGCACAGATGATGACGACGCTCTAAAATATGTTTTATTAATTTACCATGCTTACAAAACACTTTTAAGGGACCTTATATAAAGGATATTCTACCGTTTCGAGAAGCTACATTTCCGACTTTCTAACACCAACAAGGTCACAAGCAAAATTCGCGTATACCGTAGAATTTTTGCTTTTTCGTAACTTACGAAATTACGCTATTTTGTGAGTGGAATACTTTTAGTGGGCTAATTGATAAAATGATGCTAAAAACTCACGTAAGCCATGTATTTTGCGTAGCCGGATTCACGGACAGCGTCGTAGTCCCAGTGGGTTTCGTCCTAAAAAGAAAACTCGTAAAAATTTGGATATACAAAGATATAAAACTATGCACTTTTCATTACATTTACACTAGAAAAAGTTACAGGTCATAAAGGCGCTACAATTCGAAACTGTAAAAAAACATACCTGTGATTTCGCCACGACAGTAGTATTCCACTCATCAACACTGTTCGATAGTACCTCGATAGCAGCCAAGACGCACATAGCTGCAAAATTAGGTTGATTTTACGTGCCGTTTTATATTAGTGACTTCTTGGTACATTAAGGTATCACTAGAAATTTGCAACTTACTGCAAACAAAGTACAACGCAGCGGTCAGTCGTTTGTAGGTATAACGATGGTGGTAGAAGGTGTACATGGCCAACAGGTTGGTGGCGATCAAGAGCACTAGGCCGATGATGCCGATCACGGCTTGTGCGCGGTAGTAGTCTGAAAAAACGCGTAGAGATCTCCTATCGTTTTTCAAATCTAATAAACTTCGGAAACTTACGCTTCAAGTCCTCATCGGCCAATCGAGTCAGGTGAGCGGGAGGAGCAGGGAAGTGGGGGATCCATTCGGCTAAAAACACGGAATATGACCTAAAAGTCCAGAAAATGGTGTTCCAGCTGGTATAAACTTTTGCAAACGAGCAAAACCACTTAGGAATTTAGACAAACGGTGGTCTGTAGACCAGAATTTGACAAGCAAGCGGAGATTTTTTAGGGTGTTAGCGAAATCCAGTCGCTTTAAGATTTCGGTTCAGGGGTGGCTTCCCGGTCCCCTTAAGACTCACTGATCGGTCGGCTGGTGTTCGTCGTCTGTCTCCACTCGCCCCAGACGCCAAGTTCGACGCGTACGATTTCCCAATCAATATTCGTAAAGGTAAGGACTTCCCATTTCGGGATGGCCATCGCCGCTATCAGGATGATGACCGCTAGCTGAAAAATAAAGTTATATTTTCAATTTTTTTTAGGATTTTATTACAGCAGTTTAGCGATTTTGCAACGTTCTTCTTGTAAAAAAGCTCGATCGTTTCCACCTTAGCCTATAAAAAGAATCTTTTTCAACTTTGACGTTATTTTAAGCATTTTGTAATACGACCCCTGTAAAAACAATGTTTACCACCCCTCCTTACAACCCTCATGACCCGTTTTTGCAGCTTTTCCTTCGCATTTCTGCTGCCCGGTTTTGCGGGTGTAAACAGGCGCTATTCGGAGTCCCTCCTAACCGACAACACCTGTTCATTATCGGGTGATCGGCTGGATCGACAGCCGCTAGTGTGGAGATTAATTTTTGGTCGTTTTTAGTCAGGATCTTTGGAAAAACAAGAGCACATTTTAGGAAACGGAAAAACGCAGTACAAATTTGGTTTTTCATAGATTCGATGCGACTCCAGGTTAATCTCCGATTTTCTGCTTAAATTTTTTGATTCGATTGTGCTTAATCCCATAAAATTAATTCGTTAAAATTGATACCCTAGGAATTATACAAGGGAAACATTCTTTTTACATGATTTTTAGAAACGACTTTGGAGATTTTTGGAAACGAATGGCAAATTTTAGCTGCAAACATCAGATTAATTTTCGATTTTGACAACGTCAAAACACCATTATCCCAAGAGAACAGCGGTAATATTTTTGGGTCTTTTAGAAAATTTTTAATTTGCTAGAATACTCACCCAAGCTATTAAGCAACAGGCGAACATCATCCTCCTCCGTCTGAGGACGTCCTCGTAGGACCGCTCGTTGAGCACCTGTAAAAAGTATCGTAATAGTAAATTGATGGACTTTTTTTGGCGTCTATTGATGCTTAATTCTAGACCTTTTAACTTATTAACATTTTAGCGATTCGGACTACGAATGTTCTCAAAACCACCGCTTTGAGATGATAAATTCCGGATGCATCTTTTGCATTTGGGATAGGCTATCGTAATCAAAAATTTATGGGGTTGCACTTGCTTGGGCGGGGACAGGGTGATTTTCTCAGAACTCGGTTGTGCATCAAGCTTCTAGAGAAAAACTGTTTATAACTACTAGGTAGAAAATCGAAAAAGGATCTAAACTCTTAACATGCCTAAACAAACCCCACGCCTAACTAGGGAAGTCCAAGATACCCGCAACACGAATCGGGCTGAAAATTTGCACAGTTATAGAACCGAACATGCTGATCATCGCCTCGTCTTCCGAATTTGCTGTCGAGCTTAGCTCATTAAGATATTAAACTTTTGAAATGCGCCAAAACTGCCACCCTGACCCTGGCTCACTAGAGCGGGTGGGGTTCAAGAGGCCTTTGGGAAGCCCCCTTTCCAGAGCTTCGGTAGTCAACTGGTTAACGCCTCGCTTCCTAGGTGGAGGGTCCGGGTTCGGACCCGGTCCGCGCATTTTTCCTTTGCTTTTTGCTAATTTTGCGTCGCGTGTCCAGATTTTTTTATGCACACGCATTTACGTACATCCTAGAAATGAAATTCAACGAAATCATAAATTTATGAAAAAAGTTCATAAAAACAACACTGGTAGAAAAAATTGTTAAAAACCGGTATTCCGTAATTCGACGGCAGCAACCGGCTCAGCTGCGTGTAGTAAAAAACACAATCTGGACACGCGCCACATGTGCGGCGCAAAATTAGCAAAAAGCAAAAGAAAAATGCGCGGACCGGGTCCGAACCCGGACCCTCGACCTAGGAAGCGAGGCGTTAACCAGTTGACTACTGAAGCTCTGGAAAGGGGGCTTCCCAAAGGCCTCTTGAACCCCACCCGCTCTAGTGAGCCAGGGTCAGGGTGGCGGGTTTTTGGCCCATTTTAAAAGTTTAATATCTTAATTATTTAGACTCGGTAGCAAATTCGGAAAACGAGGCGATGATCAGCATGGTCGGTTCTATAACTGTGCAAATTTTCAGCCAGATTCGTGTTGCGGGTATCTTGGACTTCCCTAGTAAGAGAAACCTAAGCCGGAGCCTAAGCTATAACCAAGTTCGACACAAGTCAGAACTTAACAAAGTATAAGTAAAGTCTGTGCAAAGCACTAACGAAGCATAAGCCAAAGCAAAAGCTCAAGCCTAGCCTAAGCCCAAACCTAGGCCCAAGATAAGCCGAAGTCTACGCTACGTTCCAAAAAATCCAAAGAATACGCTTGGGAAGGAGGTAATGGTCTTGGGAACGGAAACGAATGCCAAAATGAAAACGCTGAGCTTTACTCTTTGCATGGCTGTGCAGGCTTCCCATCGAAACCAAGTGTAAAGCCCTGATGGCCCATATCTCTTCCTCAAATCCGTTAGGGGGCAAAAAACCCGTGAAAGAGGCAGAGGAGCACAAAACGGAACACAGACCTTGATGTGGTAGTCCATTGAGGAGGGAAGTCTAGCGAGCTTTAGGGCAGAAAATCAAGCAACTGGGCGACGGATTTTACGGTCTGATCCTGGTCTTGGCACTTGGGCTCTTGCTCCTGGACCTCGTGCTCAAAATCTCCGCCCAGGGCCACTGGCACTTGTCAATCTTCTCTCGCTGGTGGGAGATCCGAAAATCCGGCCAACTTTTGGGGCTTGGAAAAGAGCAAAAAAACCCCCGATTTTTTCGAATTCCCGAAATTTTTAACTCAGAAATTCAAATTCTTCTTAGCACTTTATAAAATCGATATCCTACAGTCCTACAGTTAGTAATCTGGCAAATTTGCATAGGATAAATTTTTTGAAAAATACACTACTGTATCTCGACGTAGGAAGGTCACATCCAAATACGTTGCATATGTTTTGAAAGCCCGGAAAACACCAATAAGCTTATCAAAAAGCTATAACGAAAACTTTTTTAGTCCGGTAAAAAGGCATTTTCGCATAGCATCAGCTCGGTTTTAATCACACAAAAAGCCAGAAAAGATAAAAAACCGGCTGTCTAAATTCAATTTAAACTATTGAAAGCTACTGAATGTAAATTCGGGGTCACCCTAGAAAATGTTTTCTTAAACCCAAGAATTAAATGTAAATTAATAATGGTCGTAAATTTTATTTCTTGGGTTTTGTAATTTTATACAAAACAACTCGATGATGATAACGAATTATTTTTTCGGTTTGTTTGTGTTATCGGGGAGCAAATTTTGCTAGGAGTCCATAGATGCCTAACGCCGGGGATTAAATGTTATAATAGTGATTTCAGTCAAATTTAACTATATTTAAAGTGGAAAAACTACACAAACTTCGTTTCCAGAGGAAAAAGTCCCGACGAATAATTTGGTCTCCCCCGACACCCCACCCGGTAACGGATAAGTACCCTTTCAAAAAGCTGTTTTTCGAAGTATCCAACTACTTACCCTTTCTTCATGGGTTAGCCGCTCCATTCTTCAAAAAAAGAGATGAAGAATATCGGAATAACTAGTTTAATTAAAACTGTAGCCCCAGTGCAAAGGTCGTTATCGGCTTCAGCGTGCCCTCCGGCTATATAGTGGGGGCTTTTGGCTGGCCAACGGGAAAATTAGCCCACGGCCGGCAGGCCCACCCCCATCCGCTTTTGTTTGGCCGTTATGCTACTAGTCTTCTCTGGTCTCTCCATTCTCTCGTGCTATTTCGGGCTTAATGGATGCCTTCTCACCACAGCAATGGGGTCGGTCTGCACATGTTCATGATCCCCTAGCGCGCTAGGGCAACAGGGAGGTCAACTTTTAGAGAACAGGCGAAGGGTGGGGGCTTTGGGAATGGCTTGGAAAATAATTTGTTATGCTTGAAAAGCAAGAGAGAGAGAGAGAGAGTGAGAGAGAGAGAGCTCGATAATCCTATACAAAATTCTGCTTCTTTTTTCTTGCGGTAAGCTAGCAGAAACCCTTGGCGAATCCGTGTGTCATTAATGCGAATATTCTATCTGTTTTTCCACTTTATTTTCACCATTTTCTCCTATTTCCATAGGGTACTTCTACGCTCCAGCCCTTCGATCCAATAATTATCTTAAGCTCTTACTAATCTGCTCCCCAGTCTGTGCTTATTACTTCCAAGCCATTAATCTGCGGATCCCTCTCTCTCTCTCTCTCTCTCTCTCTCTCTCTCTCTCTCTCTCTTTCTCTCGCTTCCAGGTCCAGAAGGCAATCTGGATGATTGCATTCCCACGACCTCAAGTGTTCCCGACACAGCCATGTGCATAGGATAGTATCGGATTTGGTGGGGTGCTAATGCAAGGAATCGAGGGATGGGGGGGGGGAGCAGAGTGAAGGGATTAGAGGACGGATATCGGTATAGACCTGGAATAAATATTCAAACTCTATGAGCAGGGACGTAGAGAAATACCGGCCCCGCCCCCTCCCGAAATCGGCCGGGGCCCGAAAATTTCATAAATGGGGACCCTTATGATTTTTATTTTCTCAAAAATTTGCTATTTGTTTTCACGTTTTTACGGCTTTTTGTAGAGCTATGTAGCTTTTTTCAAATTTTTTTTTGCCTGCGGCGCTGTTTTCTCGTTAATGTTCTGAGTTTTCTGGAAAAAATTTTTGGGCCCCCGGAATTTTTTTTGGCTACGCCCCTGTCTATGAGTAATCAATTTGGGAACTTCTAACTGCTTAAAAAATAGAAAATTCCGAAAAACGACAAAGTTGATTTTCTAGCACTTTTTGGCGTCAGAAAACAAACTAAGTTAGTAATTGAACCAAGGCGAACATTTTGAAATACTTCACTCATAAATAGGACGTATGGCTGAAAAGTTGCGGCTTTGGGGGTTTCCTAGACTCTTACCCAATCATGTCATAGATATTAACATCAATAACATCAACATAAATAAACCGTTAGACGGCACGTTTTCCACTTCGCTTCAGGCAAACTTTGCAGCCCTAAAGAAAACGTCAGAACGATGAAATATCGTTTAGAGCAAGAAAGTTGCGCACCGGGCGGGGGTCGACCCGCGACGGTTCGCTGTCGTCCGTCCGACCAGTCCGAAGTGCTAGCCACTATACCACAGGATCAACCAAGGAAGGGAGTCAGAGGCGCCCCAAACCCCGGAGGGTCTTTGCCCAATACGGGACACCACTAATGACGACCCTCTCTGCGCGTTCTTAGGGGCAGCACCCTCGGGGTGACAGTGCGCGTTCCATCGTTCTGGTAGTCTTTAATGCTGCAGTCCTGTTCGATAGAAGATTGCTCCTCCAGGTAGGCAGATGCATATTTATGCATATGACCCGCTATTTTAGGGCTGTTTTGCTCTTCCTGCCCTCGATTCGTAATTCCTGGACAGCTGCGCAGCTGTGAAGAAATCTCATTCAACATTCAGTTATTTGCTCACGGCATTTTTGGCCTTCTTTTTGAAACGTCGATGGCTAGCGCCACCCAATTTTGGCGATTTTTTTCTAGTATATGCTGTTTTTTTAGGGGCTCTTTCAGCAGTGCCATTTTTCATCAAACGTGGAAAGGTTTGGGTTCTTCACTGTTAGCGAGGGGGGATCCTTAGCAGCGGGAAAACCCATTTTATGTTTTTTCCACCTACCTGTTGAGGATATATAATGTATTTTTATCGAGTTCTTAATAGTTTATGGTTGCTAAGAACTTACAAAAATCTATTTAAAAAATCCGAAAAACTGCAATTTTACCTTTTTGGTTCATTTTTCATACATACATATAAATATTTGCGGAAATGTTTGTTTATTTTATATTATCCTGGTCCTTAACATAACTTAAATGCTGTAAAAGCCGCTTACATGTTGATATGGGGGGGGATTTGGTTGCGCCGTCAAAAATCGGATCCAGGACGCAAGGCCAAGATTTCATAAGTGCAGCTTCCCCGGTGCCATCTGCGCATCTGCCAAGGCCTCCCCGGCCGCTAATGAACATTTTGTCGCACTAATTACCTAACAAAATCTTGGAAATCTATAGCAACGGCTACTAATAATAAAATTGTAAGTAAGTATAAAATTTGGAAATAGGTAAGTGCAGGCGGGAATAGCTTCCCAACTATTTTGGCATCAGATGGAATAGCTTTATTTGCTTAGTAAAGTGTACTTCACAAGCCATTTTTCGTACTAAATTTTATGAAATAAAACCAATGCCGCAGAAGATAGCAAACAACCCATTGTTTTTTTTTTGGTAAATAAGAAATTCCGTAAGCATTTGGTGAGCTTTTTTTATTCGTTTGATAGCAACATGTAATTTAACTCGGGCAGTTGAAACTCGTTAGATCTAATTAAAACAACGCAAAAATTAAAAACTAAATAATCAAAGTAACAATGAAACTCGGAGACCTTGGCGTCGAGCTTTCAATCATTTTGCTAATTTATATTTTTCCTCGAATTAATAAGATTGTGATACTGAAATCTCCAATTGGATTGTCATTTTACCATGTGCAAAATTGCCTCTATTAGTGTTACCTAGACACTGTGTATTGTATAAAAAATATTGTCTTCCACAACTTTCCGATCATCCTGTGTATTTAAACAGTTTGTTTACTATTATTATTGGTATTATTATTATTAGCCGTTGCTATAGATTTCCAAGACTTTGTTAGGTAGTTAGTGCGCCAAAATGTTATCAATAGCTACCGGGGAGGCCTTGGCAGATGCGCAGATGGCACCGGGGAAGCTGCACTTATGAAATCTTGGCCTTGCGTCCGTCGCCCTCAAAAATCCTCCCCGCCCAACCGCTAACAGTGCAACCCAAATTCTTCCGCGATCCATGCCAACGGTCTCCCTGCTGACTCCCTTAGCCATGCGACTCTCCAACAGTACCCGATAACTTGTGAAATTTTAGGCGATGGACTTCTGCTCACTGCCCGTCGAAGTGCAGCATCATGTCCTGCGGAATATGGCGATCGAGGACTTCTTGAAAACAGCTTTCACCAGCCGAACCATGTTCGAGATAGCCACGGATGCTCCCGATAAGAAATGGGGGTTCTGGCTTCAGCGAGAACGGAACGGGGAACGCTATGAATTGGACATACGAGATGGCGACCGAATTGTCCATCGGATCCACATCAAAAACAAGGATAGCCTCAAAGCCGTTGCTCATAACGCCACGATTTCGGTTCTTTATTTAAACGAGCATCCCTTTCCGGAAGGCTTCAATATCCGCTGCAATCGGTTGCACCTTGTGTGGGTAACCGACGACCCACTTCCCCTTTTGAAGCGACACAAGCCGGCTGGAAAATACGCGGAACTCAGTGTGGTACCGACACCACCCAATCCAGAATTGTTCGGCTGGATCAACGAAAACGTGCGTGATTTTACCGGCCGAACAGCCGCGCCACATTCCGAATACACCAAATTGAAGGTGGCCCGGATGCAATTTTTCGCGGACGACTGGGAAAACAGAGACTCTTCGGAGTTTACCGAAATTCTCGCGACCGAATGGCTGCGCGGCGAACGGGAAATCGTCGGAATATACACGCATTACCTGCGTTATGAACAGCCGCCACCTCGATTTCCGGCTATTTTGGAGCAGTTCCCCAAGCGTCAGGTTCGTGCTGACCACGAATATGAAACGTGGTACCGCCTCAAGCGAGCCGATGGAAAGCGATTGATCGTCAGATTTGATCATTTGCGAGGCAGAGAGCAGCTTTGCGTGCCTCGCAAATTGTTAGGCTATATGAATAGCGATTTTGAAGAATTTCTGCGCACTACTGATTAATGTGCAATAAATCGTTTTGTGAACAGAGCTTTCTTCCAAAAATTGTACGCATTCTGAAAAACCTGCAAAAGTAATCTCCTTTCGTCTGTCTGTAGGTCTGACTTGCTCGCTGTGAGGGAAAGAGAGTGAGAGAGCGAGGGAGGGCGAGGGAGAGAGCCGGAGAGAGTGTGTGTGAGAGAGAGAGTGAGTTGTGAGCGAGTGATATGGAGGGGAAGAGATGGACCGTATTTAAAAATATTTTCTTTAAAATGAAAAGAACTTGAAAATTAGGATCTGTAGGAAAGGTCAGAGATATATAGGGAAGATCTCCAGAATTCCACAAAAATAACAATGCAAAGTATTGAATTTTTAGCTCTCAAAAACGTCATAAAAGTAAAAAATGTCAAAAAATATTTATTAAACTCACATGCTCGTCATCGATCACAATCTGCTCCATTCGTCCAGTTTTTAGGATAATCCAGTCCGAATAAAAGTCTCGTATCTTCTCAGATTTTTCACAAAATCGAATAACCGGCCCAAAAGCCGCCCGGATTTGTGCTTTGGAGATGAGAGGGTGGAGGGTTAGGAGGGGAGGTGCTTCTTGAGGTCTTCTCTCTCCAGCAGGGGGTGAGAAGGGATAAACAACCCGTGTGTGGTCGGCAGGGCCAGAATACGCCGCGATACTAGAGACGATGAGAATTGAGGAGAGTGGTGAGAGACACAAACAATGGATGGAAGCACGTAAATAAGCCACCTTCCGAGGTTG